GAATTTTCTCAGGTGGTGATTTACTGACCCGAATTATTCTGTAACGGGCGTTGATAGAACCCGGAACATTCCGGAACATGAAAAAATAAAAATAATTTTCATGGAAAAAATAGAATATAAACAATAAAATAATTTTTGTAAAAATTAATAATAACAAAATAACATAAAATAACATAAAAACGAAAAATAAATGAAGAAAGAAAAAGAAACTGATATAATCTCCGAGTATGAGAAATTGTCGCAATGAATTTGTTTGGCGAGTGAGGGTCTATGCAAATGACAGTAATGAGTGCAGACTTGTCTCTAAACTCGAAATATATTAAAATTGGACTTCTGCTATCTATTTATCTCCTAAACCGAATGTAGTGTCTTACCCAAGTATTTAACCAAGGGTTGAATCTGATTTAACCACCAACACACACACCATTGCTGCTCGTGCAAATGTGTATTCAATCATCACAACAGTCAGAGCGCATGCTTGATAATACAAACATGGGGGTTGGGGCAGTAGACCTAAATATTCACATATACTAGATTCCTCCCTTCTTCGAACAAGAATCACTTCGTGAATTTTACCGGGGCCACTTTTGTCTTGGCAACCCACGTGGAAGGGTCGTTTTCATCAACAAGTTTGTCGGGTGACATGAAAATCTTTTTTATTGCAAATATTCTTTAGAGATGAAAACAAGGTGTAATGAATAATGTGAAAAGAGAAAATGTTAGGGAATCCCCCATTTTGAACAGTTGAGAGTTTTCGCATGTCGCTAACGTAAATATTGCGTGACAAAGGTTATGTGAAACAGTCTTTTTTGGTTTTTCATTAGTTAAAGCAGTGATAGACTTTCTTGTAATGAGTCTTAATTATTTGTCGGCAAATATTTCACGAAGTTTCCTGTAGCGAGTGCGAATTGTAAGGTATTGAAACGCACAAAACGTTTGTTAAGATGATATAAAGTTAGCTTTCATAAATGTTCGCATTGATTCTCGGTAAATTTTATGATGGAAGGTTCACTCAATGTAAATAACTTTGATAAGTCGCTTATTTTCTCGATACGTTTCACGATGGAAGGTTCACTCTTAAGCGATCGCTCGTAAATTTGTCTCTCCAAATATTCACTCTCAAGTTTTCGCTCATAAACTAGTACATCGTAAAGGTTGGGGAACGTGTTGTTCCCAAAAAGCTATAATCTTTTGAACCAGTGATACATCCCAACAGTAACGAGCCAGCGATAAATCTCAGTCAGCAATATATCCCTAACAATGTAACTTTGAAAAGACAGAAACGCGTTGCATTTTATGACCGGTGCCAGCCTTCGGCTAGGCCCCGGTAATTACTTGTTGGGTTAAAAGAAAACAAAAAGAAAATAAAGCCTAGCTAACAATGTATATAAATGTCTCTGAGTGCCCTACAGAAATCCTTATGCGACTGAACACTTTTAAGTGGCTTAAGTGGAAACATAACAAAACATAACAACGGTTCAAGTTCAGGTCAGAGTTCCTGTTCTCAAAGTCTCAAAAATCTACTCTGAATCAAGCTGAATAAAGCCTAAAACATAGTCTTGAAATTTAGATGGTAATCTTTTGATTCTTGCTGGACGTAAGGTGACAGAATTTCTTTGCTCCATAGTAGCATCATCTGATGGTGTGTACTCCAATGGACCGTCCTCACTTGCTCTCTGAGAGAAAACATTTACAGGTTCTCTGGGCTCTGATAAACTTTGTGTTGCTCTCTGAGCCTCTGAATCCTTTGTTGACTTACTAGTGGCAGGTAATACACCATAATCTCGCTCGTACTGCACACCATCAGCCTCAACAAGAACACTATTGCCATTTTTCTAAACAAATGTAAAGGGAGACTGTTTGTATCGCGTTGACAGTCTGTTCTCTTTCTCCTGCCTCAGTAACACCTTCTCACCTTCTCGAATCTCGCTTTCACGTGCATTCCTTTGGCAGTCTGCATACACCTTTCCCTTTTCTTTTCTCTCACTGTCGCCATCTCGAACCTCATCTTTGATGCTGAACTCTTGGAGATGGGGTAGTTTGGTCCTGATCCGTCTTCTAAATAATAGTTCTGCCGGGCTAACCCCAGTAGTAGAATGTGGAGTACTGCGATACATCATTAAGAAATTGTCCATCTCTGATTTCCAGTTTCGACCCTCTGCTTGAGCGATACGCAGGCGCTTCAGGATACTGTAGTTTTGCCATTCTATTTCACCATTGGCTTGTGGCCATAAGGGTGTGGTTCGTCTATGTTCAATTCCGTTTTCCTCAAAGTACTTCGTAAAATGTTCACTGGTAAACTGCGGCCCATTGTCGGTTCGTAAGGACAAAGGAAGGCCATGAGTGACGAAAATCTTGGACAGCATTGATACAATCTTCTCAGAAGTAGTATACTTGGTAAATTCCATCTCAAAGAATCGGCTGTAATAGTCCACCAATACAAAGACATAACCACTAGAAGGAAATGGACCCAATAGGTCAGCTGCTAGATGTTGCCATGGTCCTGTAGGCAACTCTGTACGTGTCATCGGCTCAGGTTTGGTTGGTTGTGAAACTAAATGACAACCATGACAGGTCTTACAAGCTCTCTCCACCTCTTTGTCGATGCCTGGCCACCACACTTTGGTACGCAAACGTTGCTTCATTGCGACCTTGGTATGCCAACTCAAGTGCTTTGGTATCACAATTCCAGTTCCACGAAGAACAAACTTTCCAATTGCACGTAATTCACCTCGCACATGTAGGTAATCTTTGAATTCTAAGGCATGCCATTTCTCATTCAAGAGGCATTCTCGTACACTTTTCAGCTCAGGGTCATGTTCTGACGCTCTCTCTATTTCACGAGTTGTCAGGGCAACTGGTGTCAATTCTTGGGCAACCCACTTGACATATTCTTCGGTTTGGTCTTTGTGTTCTGACGTTGGCATTGCACACAGGAGACGTGACAAGAAATCAGCAATATTCTTAGGACCTGGAATATATTTTACTGTAAATCTGTAGGGTTGAATTCTGAGAAGCCATCTTTCGATCCTTGCACAGGTCTTGGACTTAGGTGAGAAAATGCATGCTAGAAGCTTGTGGTCAGTCATTAGTTCAAACTCAGCACCATACAAATAGGCATGAAACCTTTCGCAAGCCCACACAATGGCTGAGGCCTCTTTCTCAGTCTGAGAATATCTGCGTTCTGTATCAGACAGGCTGCGGCTTGCATAACTAATAACTCGTAGTTCTTCTCCTTGCTCTTGAACTAGCACGGTTCCCAAGCCTACAGGGCTTGCGTCTGCGATCACCTTAGTAAGTACATTCTTATCAAAGTATCCAAGTGTCTCTGCACTGGACAGTCGCTTTTTTAACTCATCAAATGATTGCTGTTGCTCCGGCCCCCACCCAAATGATTCTGAACTCTTTGTAAGCTGGAGGAGGGGTGCAGATACTGTTGCTAGGTCTGGGATAAACCGTGCAGTGAAATTGACCAGACCAAGGAGCCTTCGTACTTCCGCAGCATTCGTCGGTTCACGGGCATCTACGACAGCCTTCACTTTAACATCTGCTGGACCAATTCCACGTGCCGACAAAACATGACCCATGAACTCCAAATGTGACATCTTAAGCTGACACTTGTCTCGGTTCAGTGTTAACCACCTGCTGCTCAGTACTCGGACCACATTCTCAAATCTTTTGTCGTGTTCCTCCTGAGTGGGAGCATGTACTATCAAATCATCAAGAATATTATGAGCTCCGTCACACTCCTGCAGGACTTGGTGAAGTACCTTCTGGTACATCTCAGGTGCACAACTTGTGTGTGCCAAATGTAATGATATCCCTTGATTCGGGCGACAGTTCTATCTGAGGATAGGCGGAGGTAAGATCCAACTTGCTAAAGAACTTGCTTTGGTTCAAATCTTGTAAAACTTCGTCAATGGTGGGTGTTGGGAAACGCTCTCGTTTTACTGCCATGTTGGCTTGTCGTATATCCACACACAAACGAATATCACCTGAGGGCTTGGGCACCACTAGCACTGGTGAGACCCGCGAGCTTGGTCCACTCACTTTTTCAATGATGTCTAGTTCCACAAGTTCATCCAGTTTGGTAGTCAGTTTATCATGCAAGTGGTAAGGGACACGCCTAATTGGTTGTGCTACAGGTGGTACCTCTGGGTCAATAGGGACTTTTAGCTGGAAATTTTTCAGTTTGCTAATATCTTCACAGCATCCCGGGAACTTTTCAAAAATACTGGCCTCCCCTTTTGCTCCATCCGTAGAAACCTCTAGTGAATTCACGTGAGCTCCCAGCTTCAAAACTCCTGAAGAAATGACAGTTTCCCGTCCAAGGAGGGCGTGTCCCTCATTTTCAATGACAACAAATTCGACCCCACTTAACACACTCTCTCCAACAGACACTTCTGCAGTGAACATGCCAGCAACTTGTAGTGGCTGATTACTACCATATGCATACAACTTCTTTGAAGCCTTAGTCGACACACATGCAACCTTATTTGCTTTCAGATATTCCCATAAATTACGACCTATGACATTGCAACTAGCACTAGAATCAATAATCATTGTTACTGGCAAACCTCCTATCTTCACAGGAATTTTCCCATCACTTAAAACATTAGAATCATCTAAAATGCCAAAAGCATATTCACAATCATCATCCTGAGTACCTTCAGTTTCTACCTGCCTTACATGGTGAGCTGCACCTCCCTCCTTTCCGACGTCTGGTTTACGCGGCCCTCCAGTTCCTCGACCACTGGTTTGCTTTTCCTTAGTTTGACACACAGCCTCAAATGTCCTGATCCATTACACTTCCTGCACTGTTTCCCTCTCGCTGGACATCGACGATCGTTGGCATTATGTCCCGTATATCCACAACAAAAACTATTGACTTTTCTTGGGCTCGCATCCCCTTTTCAATTCGTCTTTCCGCTCACACTATCTACTTCACTACGCACTTCACTACGCACCTGACTACGGACCTCACTACTTCCTCCTTCGATTTAACGGGCCTGTTTTTCAGATTCCTCCATGGAACGAGCAATTTCTCTTAATTGTGGTAGTGTCAAGTTTCGACCCTTATGAAGTAACTTCCGACGGGGTTCGTGCGACAAGCAATTGCTTGTCACTTGATCACGAATTTGCTCATTCACAGTTGCAGCGTCTCCGAATTCGCAGGTTTGGGCTTTTTGTCTCAGTCTGGTAGCAAACTGTTCGACCCTTTCGTTTGCCAGTTGACCTTTTTCACGAAAACAAAGCTTTTCATACGGAACATTCGCTTGCGGTTTGAAATATTTATTCAAGGTCGCCTTTGCTTTCTGATAGCTATCTGATCCTCCTTCTTCGGTCAACGTGAAATAAATATCTTGCACATTTAATCCGGCAGTGTGCAGCAATAAAGCCTTCTTCTGATCGACATTTTTGACTCCTTTTCCGGTGGCCAACAATTCAAAAGCTCGAAGCCATGGGCGCGATCCATTCAACCAAAATTCCAACCGGTCCGACCGGGAAAAGTGGGTCCACCTCAAAAGGTGGACCCGTTTTTTTGGAAACGTTTCCGGTTGGACCGAACCGATCCATTGAGTTTTGGACCGAAATTTCCGGAAATTTTGGTTGAATGGATCGCGCCCCATCTCTCCCAGCGTGCGGAAATACCAGCAGTTTCTGAACAGTCAAACGGCTTTAATCCGTGTGCATCGCTTAAATATACACTTGCCATCTCCTATAAACTTCTTCAAATCCCATCCTCGTCGCCAAAATGTAGTGTCTTACGGATTTAACCAAGGATTGTATCGGATTTAACCACCAACAGACACACCATTGCTGCTCGTGCAAACATGTGTATTCAATCATCATAACAGTCAAAGCGCATGCTCGATAATACAAACATGGGGGTGGGGACAGTAGACCTAACTATTCACATATACTACACCGAATGCCTTGCTAACGTGTTTGTTGCTTTGAATTGTGACGTAACTGGAATTTGGTTGACAAGATTTCAATTTGGAAACAGTAATGCGTAGCTATTCTCGGCGACTAAACTTTCTTGAATTATCTTGAATCCTTATGTTGATTTGCGTCGGATAACAAAGTTGACTATTCATCCCACATAATTACAATAAAACAATCTAGAGTTCCACAGAATAAGATAATGACCCAGTAATGGAACTAGAGCTTTAATGGGAGGGACTGTTGTGATTCCCGTGATCATGGAGATCTACACAGACTTCCCGGGCTTGTTTCAGACTCCAGACATGACACTGACAAGATGGAACCAAATGCTCCGCGATTGATTAATTTTGCAAGGTAAAACAAAAAAACAAACAAATAAAAACGGACGGCTCCTTTCCTTTCTTTTCACCTTTGACCAGGACACGTAATAATCGGATACTGTAATATTCAGTAAATTAGCTGCAAAGGTCTCACAGACCTCAGCTTAAAAATCAAGACCACTATTCAGCCCGTGTTCATCAGCAGAAATCTCAACGAAGACCTTAAATTTCGAGAATTCAAGCCAGCCATTGTTAACCAACAATGTTTAGTTTATCAATTTCAATTTAACCTGTGCGATGCAGGACATGTTGGTTATACTCGCGGCCACCTCCACGAACGTGTTGATGGACACAAACAGAAATGGTCATCAATTTGTAAACATTATTTTAGCGAACATAACTCGGACTTACCACCTGTTCTTTCAGAACAATTTCACGTGCTCACTAAAGGCTCTAACAAATTTGATTGCCTAATTAAGGACATGCTCTTTATAAGAGATCTCAAACCATCCCTAAACGTGCAGGCGGACTCGATTCGCGCAAAGGTATTCACTTGAAGAACTTGTGATCCTTTGTTATTATGCTAATTTATAGAGACTATAGAAATGAAATCTTCGCATTATTATTCATTTTGCCGTGAGAATGGTGTCATGATTATACCGAAACGTCGGCTTTTAACGTTAATATTCGCTAGCTTATGTTTTAAAATATTGTTTACAAAAATAACAAGTCGCATAAGCAGACCTTCAATTCAAGTGTCTTCGATAAATTAGGCTCGGGCTCGAAATATAGGGAGGTGACAACGTTTCAGCACACAGAGTGGACAATATGCCAGTTTCTTTTTCTTTCTTTCTTTCATTATTTTTGTTTTTGTGTTAAAATTTTTACAAAAATTATTTTATAATAATAATAATAATAATAATAATAATAATAATAATAATAATAATAATAATAATAATAACATCTATTATTATTATTATTATTATTATTATTATTATTATTATTATATTATTTGAATTGCTAAGTACCCTAACAACATAGAACGTTTGCTGATTGCAAAGAGAATGATATAATTATGTAGCTTACGTAGCAAGCGCCGGTTATTTTTTTTTCGAGGCCGCGCGAAGGGAACACACTTCCTTGGAATTTCTTTCTTCGCCCTAAAAAACAAACTGGCGTCTGCTATGCAGGCTACAATCATACCGAAACATTTCTCATAAAGTGCGGGCGAAGCGTGGAATTTCCGCTGCGGTATTTAATTGCCGGATAAACAAGTCTTGCTCCTTGCACCTATCTCGTAGTCATGGTGACCGTATGGGCGCCAAGGACCAAGCAACCCTTTCCTCCATTTAGTTTTGATTCAGATTCTCCTAGGGCGTAGTAAAACTTCAACCCTGTCCACTCAGAAATATTATTTGCCCAACTCTTCTTCTGTCAGCCCCTCCTTCTCTCTCCTAGCACTGTTCCTTGTAAAATTGTCTTGGCAAGTCCTGCTGTTACCAAACCACTTTAACTTGCGTTTTTTACCGTGGTTAAGATGTCATCATACGGCCCAATGGCTTGTCTGATTCTGTCTCTGACTGCATCGTTAGTGATGAGGTCACTGTATGAGATGCCAAGCAGTTTCCTAAAGCATCTCATCTTAGTGGCCTGTAATTTCTTCAGGATGTCCGCTGTCAATGTCCAGGTTTCGCAGGTGTACAACAGTACTGAGATAACCAGGGAGCGCATAAGCTAAGCTGAGCTTAGAGACATATGCTTATCGTTCCAGGTGGTCTTCAGTCTCGCTAGCGCTGCTGTTGTCTGTGCAATTTTGGACAGTAATTCAGGCTTGGAACCTTGATCTGTGACGACTGCGCCCACATACTTGAAGCTGTCAACCGCGTTCAATTTTTCACCGTTGATTCTGATGTCAATTTGTTGTTGGTCATCAGTTTGGTCCTCTCTTAGTCTGAGATCATGCCCTATGGGCGTGTGAGGATCGCGAGCTTTGCGCGCGTAAGACTCTTACGCCACGCTTTACGATTTCTTTACTGTGTTTGAGAAAAAAAAAACGGACTGTTTTGCAGTCTAGTCCGATAGGGGCGTCAAGTTTCACCAATCATGTGATCATCCCATCTAGGGCCCGGTTCAGACGCCGTACTTTTCATGAGCCAAACCTAATACATTCAATTAAGTACATGAAAAGTTCGGCGTCTGAATCAATTAGGAACGCCTGTTTCAATTTGGAACGGCTCAGCCGTTCTTTCCGCCTAGCCAGGCCGGGAATTTCGGCTTTGGATCGATTTTGGAAAATTCTTACAACGTATTTTGTAAGCAATTCGACCGAAATAAACATTTTTCTCCTTCTGAATTTAGTTCGGCTGGAATTAAGATCGGTGTCCCATATTCCCTCCTTGTAAACAGGGCCAGCAATTTTCACAGGTAGGGTTACCCTATCGCCCGGGTCAACTTTACCGTCTTTGCTGACGTGTTTCGTCATGCCTGACATTTTTTGTAACGGTCCAAAATTTGAAATAATCTTGAAATTCTCCATGAAAAACACGTTAAATTCACGAAAAAAGGGAAAATATTATCATCGCAGACAGATTGTTATGATTCAGATGTTTATAATTAAGCTCAGAAGTTGGATAATACCGTTCAAATTGGTACGATTACCGGTCACGCATGACGGCGGAAAGTTAACCCGGGTAGGCGAGTTATCCCTAGCTGAGCGTTTACAAGGCCGGTAGGGTAACCGTCTTGCTAGGGTAACCCTAGCACTCAGGTAGGGTTACCCTAGCGCTAGGGTAACCATACCCGCGTTGTAAACACGTCGTGTGAAAAAAGAAGAAACATGCGAGAGCTAGGGTAACCCAAGCACCAGGGTTACTTTCCCTCCTTGTCAAAAGGGCCTAAGAGGCACATACCTCAACTTAACTCTGGCATTTAACCTGCCAAAGAGCTTATATTGTTTTAGCTTTAGGTTTAATTTGAATTTCAGCATTTTTGTTATTATATCTTTCCTCCATATTCTTGTCACAATTATTAGTTTGTTAATATTCAGTCACACCTTTCTGGCTAGCTCTCTTTATAAGTTCAGCGCTTTTCCATCTTGTACTTCACGTTTGATAATGGTCTTGAAATAAGATTACGCTTATTTATTTTGTGTCATTTCTTGCATCTTCATTTGTCGGCGGGTAAAGGTTTCAGAGCGATAAAATCATGTAAAACTCATTGCTTCCGCGAATTTGTATTTTTTAAAGATGGCGGGTATGTTAGAAGAGCACAGAAATATCATCACAAGTCACCGTGCGGACCTTGTTAAGGACTTGGAACCTTCAAAGGTATTAAATTACCTGTTCGAATGTCTTGATGAAGATGACAGGGAGTATGTCAAAGCTCAGGGTACGAGAGGAGACCGTGCAGAAGAATTAATCGATATGATTCCAAGAAGAGGACCTACAGCTTTCCAGTGTTTTGTTGCTGCTTTGTACAAGAGACAGCGTCATCTGGCCATCCCTCTGATACAAGAGTCAGGCATTGATATTTCGTCTTTTGAGAAAGGTAAGGACATTTTACTTTGAGTCTTATTCCCCATTCCAGAAACTATAAGGGGAAGGTTGTGACAAATGTAACATCGACCCAGGTGTTATGTTGTGTCCAATGGTTTTAGTGAAAACAAGGGTTTGTAGGGTTGCTCAGTCTCATGGGCTCAAAAACTCCCTTTGGTCCACCTTATTTTGTATTTGCCTAAATGGAATGGGTACAAGCTTTCATCACAACGATTTCTGGGATCGTGTTGGTACACAAGTATGACTTATGACTGGTTAATGGTTCCCTTGAATACTATCAACCCATCATAACTAACGCCAATCCCAAAAGTCATTGTGCCCAATGCTTGTACCCATTCCCCTTGTAGTTTCTAGAGTGCATTATGGAATCCCGCCTATTCAAACATGTCGATAGTAAATGGAAATTTTTCTGTCAATCAAATGTCCCCTATTATTTGAAAGTACGTGAAAGTGGAAATTGGTGAAACATTTTTTAGTGTTTTGGAGACAACAGAGCAACAAAAGATACCAGAAAGATCAAGTTATACACGACAGTCTAAAAGCGTGTTGCGTGACTTTATTCAGTTACAACATTTCTCCTAACTTTCATGCATTGAAACTTTGGAAAAAGTGTGAAGCAAGGCTTAAAAATTCTTGTTAGTCAAAATAAACAGGATGCCCAACAAGGCAAGCATCTGAAAAATCAAAGGCGACATTTTTGTCTCCAGTGAAATTCGCCTGATGAATGGTAATTTGTATATAAGTGTAAGTAAAGCGAGATTTGCCGTGGTTGTACAAGCAGCGTTTCTTCAAAGTTTTTTTCCTTCTGAAAGCGTAAATTCACAATAATTACATAAATCATATAAAATGAATTCTCCCCAGAAAGGGTCCTAAAGCTTTTGAAGGTTTTGCTCGTGAACTGGAAAAAGTTCATCCAAAAATAGCCCAGAAATTACTGGATGCTGGAGTGACAGGTACTACACCATTATATCATATAAAGTTTTTTTAGCCGATAAAGTAAAATTTTCCTATCTCATTTTGTATGTTGTGGTTCACTATTTCATCAATGATTCTTTCCTTTTTTATTGTCCTTTATTTTGGGTATGGACATGTGCGATTAGGAATTTTGAGACAAAGAAAACAAGACAAGATCAAGAGAGTGCAAAACTTTTAACTACAAAAATAGCAGTGAATACACCGTAAGGAAGCAAAAAATACAATGTACTTTGAATGCCAGCTACCCTGCGAGCAGAGTCTTCTTAAAGCATTAATCTCAAACTGTCTCTTTCACTTGATACTTAATCCACCAAGCCATGCCTTAATTGCTTAGAAAGTGTTTGACACTTGTTAACTTTAAGCAAATTCAATAACCAGTGAATCTCTAATGCATTAATTTGGCAAGGAAAATCTCTAAAAATGGTTCACACTAACTGATAGCTGAGGACTTTACCTTGATTTACTATACGTGCAGTGTTCAATCTAGAAATTGGTCAAAGTGGGTCATCTATCCCACACGACCTTTTAAATAAAATTGGGTCATTTCAAAAATGGTCTAGGTCAAACCATGACATTGAAACTTTGAACAACTCTAATGGACATCTTTATGCTTCTCTGATTCAACTGGCATTCTCTCTTTTGTAAAAAATGAACTTAGTTTTTGTTGCCATTTCATAATGGAACAAAAACAAGAGAACAAAGTCAACAAACAAAGTACAAATCGATGGGCAAAGCAATGTATGCAGAGCGTCCAAATGTACGCTCCGGTCTCTCTCAGACTTACGTGGAATGCCTGACATAAAAACTTATCGTAAGCACGAAGTCTGAAATTGAATGACAGTAATTCCGTGTGCTTATTTCAGGCTAGTAAGCAGAGAATCGTAGTCTATCAGGACCTATCTCAGTTTTTTTGCCATAAAAACTTTCCTGTAGACAATGAACTTCAAAGTGAACATGATCCTTGCAGTTGAATGAATAACCTTAGAAGTTGAAAAAGAAACTGAGAAAATTCAGGCTTGACTGGGAATCGAACCCTGACTTTTGCGATGACTGGATGCAATTAATGCTCTCTCCATTATTAAAGTTAATCACACCAACTGGGGAGCAGGCCATTGTGGCAGGGGGCACCCAACGACTGTTTTCTGTGAAATATCTGTTCGGAGAAGCAAAAATTGCCTAGAATTTTCTATAGCTGGAGGAAGGCTAGATGACCGTTCCATTCGTGTTCAATTTTCGAAGTTTATCTAATAAATTCCCTACAATTTTCTGAAGTTTAATTTTTCCCATTTCACTCCCCAGGTTAGGCTATTTTTCGTAGAAAAAGGAAACCTAAAATTTTCGAAATTGTAAAACTGCGGTGCAGAGAGGAATCAGAAAAACTATCACTTTGAAATTCGTAAAACTTTAAATTGTAGCTAAAATTTTCGGGAAAATATTACTGAAACCTTTGTAATTTCGAAACGACTCAATTTGCCCAAGGATGACTGAACAGATATAAATTTTTTAGCGCCACTTAGAGTACATTTCTAGAGATCTATAAAAGTCACTCTGGATAGCCTAAAAAGTGTTTTCAAAGCATTTAGGAGGAAACCGTCGTTGGGTGCCCCTGATTGGGAATTCGTAATATACAACTGTACCCAATGGTGGAAATGACATGAATGAAACTATATGAAATGACTCACATTTTGAGCTGCAGTTTTTACAATTTAGCTTCTTTGGAGACAGTTTTGATAGTTTTTTTGCATAAAAGAAGTAGAGCTTGACAAAGACTTAGCACGGATTGAATCCGTTTGCACGTTCAAACGGGGTCTTCACTGTTAGTTGTACAATATTTTGTTAATAAGACAGTTTAAAGCAACTTAGGAGGTCCTAATTGGGTGCAAACATAACTTGTTTGGTAGGTAAACATTCGAATTTTGAAGGCCATTAGAGGAATGTAAAAGTACAGTGACAATATAAGCAATTGACCTGATTTTTGTTCGCACGGCAAAATATTCATCACAAGTATAAAGAAGTTTAAAACCAAATTTGATATTTCATAAAAGCAAGTGTGTTGTTTCGGAAGGCGAAATATTCATGCAAATACACAGCAAAGCCACCCGCTTAAGGTTTCTTATATCAAGTGTAAATTTTCGCCTTTGGTTTTTAAGGTATGTCAGTATTCAACATTTGTTATACTCCAATACTAACGTCAGTATCCGTTCTAAATGAAAGTCATTTTAAAATAATGAGCGTAACGCGCTTGTACCTTTATGAACTCGGCTTGCTGAACAACAGCCATCACTGGCTTTTAGTTGGCAGAAAAGGCGGCAAATGACGTGACCCGGGCAGTCATACCTTTTAAAGGATAAAATTACAAAGCGCTTACTTAAATAAGAAAATGTAGCGTAAATATTTACCTTGGTGATGTCCTTAAAATCACTAGAACAAGGAAAACTTCTTGGCTTCTCGAAATGGATTGACAAAGAACTTGCGTCAACTAACCGCAAAAACAGAAAACTTAACCTTTAAACAACAAAATTGCGTGGCACTTTCGAGTACGTCCTAGCTTGCGTTAGAAAGAACTTTCTCTTTAAATCTACAAATTGCGTTAGCGTGCGCGTGCAGGAAACAAAGATTTCGGATAAAAAATAAGTTAATTAAACGTGCGGCTAATTGCTGAGGCTACATGGAGTGTTGTGACTCCAAGTAGCAGGTAGAATATACATTCATATTACAATGTCACATCCTCATCCTCTAGGGATCACCTGATCTTCTGCTGATACACAGGTGATCAGTCTGGTTTTCCATGACGTGGTAGGAGCTCTGCCAGGCGGCTTTGTGGATGTAGTTGTTTAAGATTTTCTTCAACCGATGACCTCGCCGGTTCTCGCTCATTTTTTCCAGACCGTGTTGTCCCAGATTATGTCGCTCGTATCCATTGCTGTCGTCACCTTCCTCTATGTTGAAAACTTCCACTAAGAACTTGAGCTCCACTGTGGAGTCTGTTGCAAAACGCCCTGTTCTTCGCCCCCACCCCCTCCCCTCATCCAACGTCATTCGTGGGATAAGGCGCTGCACCGCATTGATGAAGAAGTTTTTCATCTTCTTTATGAACTTGTCCGCCAGTTTCTGGAGTTCTCAACTGATGTGCGCTCCCTATGACCACTTATTAAGCATTTAAAGGCTGTGGGAAGCATGTTCCTTTTCGACACCAGCATGAGTATTTAATCCATCTGGTATGACAAAGCCCAAGCCGTGCTATCTTGAAGTAGTGCTCATCTTTGCTGCCACTTGTGCTTCCTTTCCAGCTCCCTTTCTAGCCTCTTAAGTTGCTTGGATGTTGCAACTAGCAGTCTTGGCTTCTGCCTTTACTGTCAGAAGATGGTCGACCCTGCAACCACTATCCGGATGTCACTGCTGCTAGCAGCATGTCATACTCCTGCAATATGAAGGCTCTTTCACATCCAATTCTAGCAGCATCGACGGCGTAACCACCTTTTTTCAGTTCTAGCGTTCTTAGTCCTTTGACCTGTCAAGCTTGGGTATACTTCAAGGCTACTTTCTCGCTATGCTAGAGGCCGCCGGGAAAGGGGACAATATTGTTGGTGACGTCACCTCCAGTAAGATCTTGGTGTCATTTAACATACATTCTGCAAAGTGCGTTCTGCAGTCTGCTTACGGCCATATACAGTTATAATACCTCCTGTGCATTGATACAAATAAACCACCAAACCATGGAAAGGGATAACTTTTTTGGCATCGGGGTTGCGCTATAAGTGATTTGTATCAACGAGTTGTTAGCTCTTTTAAAACAAAACTGAAATATATATTTTTTTCTTTTTCGCTAGGACAATTAACTGCAGCTGCCGACCCTACACTTCCTTATAAAGGGGCACATTTTAAAGGTAGAGAATTAGTGGTGCAAGAAATTGTTCAAAAACTTACTAAGGACCCAAATCCTTCACGCGTCATCATCATTGTTGGTATCCCTGGGATGGGAAAGACTCAAGTTGCCATTCACGTCAGCCACTTACTCAAAGAAGAACATAAAAAGGCTGTTGTATTCATTGAAGAAAAACAAAAGCTTACAGAAATCTGCAGCGAAATCCTCCGTGAAATTAACCCTCTGGCTCCGAGACTTTCAGAGAGTCATGATATGGTAGCGATAGCAAAGAGGCGACTTAAAGAGCTTCAAGAGAAGAAAGTTATTGTGTTAGACAGCGTAGAAGGTATACAACAACAAGGAGAGGAATTTGACGACTTTTTAAGGTATGTAGAAACATACGCACCTCTTGTTCAGCTGATCATCACTACTCGAGAGTATGTGGGTTTTCGTTCATCGAACACATGCAACGTGCGTCTAGATCGTCTGGATTCTGAGTCGTCTGCCAAATTACTTCAGGACTTAGTCCCAAACTGTGAGGCGCGGCATATCAAGGAACTCGGTAACCTCTGTGGTGGGATACCGCTGGTTCTTGTCAACTGTGCAGGCTTACTAGAAGAAGGCTTCAGCCCGGAAAATTTGGTCGCACGTCTGAAAGAAAATCCCATTCCACTTTTTAAGACCAATGCAGAAGACGTT